AATAGTTCACTTAGTGACCGTTAGAAGTTACAATGGCAGTAAAAAAAGTGAGTGATGACCATTTTTCACACTTATGACCATGGCAGCATCCCCATGGTCACATGATTTACATTCGGATGCTTGACAGTTGACTCACATTTATGATGGTTGCAGTGTTCCGTGGTCATGTGATCCCCTTTTGCAGCCTTCTGACAAGCAAAGTCAATGGGGAAACCAGATTCATTTAACAACTGTGATACTACATTTATTCACTTTACAAATGTGGCAAGAAAAGTTATAAAATGGGACAAAGCTCACCTAACAAATTTCTCACTTAGCAATATAAACTTGGGGCTCAATTGTGGTCGTAAGTTGAGGACTGCCTGGAGTAGTTTTCCTGTAGAAATTTGTTTTCTAATCTGGTCTATCTTGAGGTGCTGACACCACTTTGGATGAATAGGCAAACTGAAGAGTATTAGAAAGACCATACTTTTGTACACTACTACGGGGAAAACATGGATTGAATAGTTAAGCAAAAACATTTTTTTATTGCCAGTATCTCTGGCTTCAAGCAGAATGTATGCAGCTTGAAAGATCTTGGTCGTAACATCAGGAATGTAATAGGAAATAAAAGATGGAAAAGTAAAATTTAGTCAGCCAGGGCATTACAGATTGTGGAACAGTTGTGTATTGGCTAAAGCAAAAAAATCCAATAGAGTTAAGTGTGCCAAGAAGGTTTGTTATAGAGAATATGCAGTTAAAATATAAGATCAGTATAATGATAAAATGAATATTTTTGAATAATGAAATATAAAAAGCAGTAGACCAACTGCCAAAGAGGAGAACTGCATAAAATAGCAACAACTTTAATGGTGAAGGGAGAGATAATCCAATTTGTTTTAGCCAAGAAGGCACAATAGCTCCAAGTCAAATACAGTTTAGTCTCATGGAGCCACGTTGCATCTCCAGATAGAGCTGTGAAAACTCAACTATGCATCTGATAAAAGTTGTTGAGTGAGCTAAAATCTACACACACACACACACACACACCTTAATTTATTTACTTGTCTGCTGATTTAGTCTGAGACCTTTTATTGTCTCTCTAAAGGTACACTATACTTGATCTTAGCCAAAAAGCTTCAGGATTAAAGTGGTAGTTTTATAAAGCTGCCCTCAGGTGTACTAATAAACTTGACAGCAAATTCTTTATGCTTTGGCCTGTGTAGCATATTGAAGACAAAAACAAGTGCAACTGAGCAGATGCTTGTGTTCATTTAGCATCCATTTACATTTTTTAAAACAAAGTAGATGTTTTCCTGGTTCAGTTTTGAGTTGTGGAACAGAACCATGTAATCTTAGGAAAAAAGATTACATTTAGCAGAAAAACAGTAGAGATATAAGGAGAATAAAGTTGTACAAACCATGAAAAGGCTGGGATTTTTAAACTGCAGTTATAGCCACAATAAATATTTATTTGAAAGTCACGCTTAAATAGGTTTATAGCTCTTCTTTCAATCTCCGAGTAACATTTTTGATCTAGTTATCTGTACTCTAGAAAAATAGTGGGCAGAATCTTATCTAAGAAAATAGTAAGTGCGAAGCAGTATTCAATCCAAATTATTATTCTCAATACTAATAATTGGCTGTCCTTATAAAAATTGGTAATAGACAATAATGTTTTCTGGCTGAATTGTGCCATTATTGTTTTTATTAAACTCTTTATTGTTTGCTTTCATTTCTGATGGAGATTTTTATCTCTTGTATATTCTATCTCCATGTTTTGATGACAATGTTATCCATTCAGTTTGTGCCTGATCCTTGGTAATTCCATGTTCTAGACTAGAGACTGTATTTACCAAATACATGGCTTAGAATAATATATGTAACACACTATCCAAATATGTTGGTTTTTAACTTTACCCATGGTAAAATGTATGTTACTTAATAGATAATCTTCAAAACTCTTCAACTGGACAGGAGTCTTGTACATCACAACTCATTCTAAACTCTCCTCATAGTTAAGCCAATCTGAGAAAGCATACAAGAGAAACATTTAAAGCACATTATATATACAATAATTAATGTCTTTCACCCATTGAATTCTATGTTGTTTGGAGAGTTTCCTTTCTTAGTTTAGTACAGGTATATAGTGTCTGTCTGCAGCTTCTTCAAGCTGTTTCGTGATCTTGAAAAAAAGATCAATTTAAGTATTTTAAGAAGTTCAGATCAAATCGAATTTTAAACTTCTTAAATTCATCTTTTTTAATTTAATTGATTTGGCTTGGTTTTAAATTGCATACAGGTGTTACAGGCTCCAAGCATTTTTTTTAATGACTCTGAAGTGCTGTGTAGTCCTAATATTTATTGCCTAGCAGAAAAAATAATTTGCATTTGTTACTATTAATTCTCATTTTGTTTTATGAAAGAGAATTTGCTCATGGTTGGAACTTGTTAAAAGATAGCCTATATGGGTCGGGGGGCAATTCCCGTATCATTTATTATATAACCATCCTTTTTAGCATTCCACACCTTCCTGGCTTCCCGTATTTCAGGATGGGAAATTATATGGAAATTTTTTTTATTTAAGTAGCATTGGTACTATCATTATTACGGTAGAATCTTTCCCCCAGGAAATAGTTGGAGATGTATCTATCTGTTGAGAAGTTCAGAGAAATTGTCTACCCAGTGGTATCTTCCCTGCCATGCAAGTATGTCACCCAGTATCTTTGCCCATAAAAATTTGTGCTCACCTCTAATTTTAATTGCAAGGTCTATCTGCCTGGAGACATGGAAGCAATGGCTGATTTTAGTCACAAACCTATGAGAAGTCATTTTTCCTGTAAATCAGAGGAGATATTTTTGTAAATTCTTACTCTTTTCTTTCCTCTCTGAATATTCTATTTTCTGGTTATCTAAGCACCTTCAGCTTTCCAATATGCCTTAAAGCTAGAATCTGATTTGAATCTTAGCTTAAATGCTTGCATTGTGAAAAGTCTAAGAAATATAATAAAGGATTATTTATTCATTGAGCTTTTTTTTCATTTTGACTCATCAACTTTTAAATTATTAGTTGTTTGCTTTCTTGACTCACCCTTCTGGCATAGGCAAAAATTTGATAAACATTTACCATTTAAAATAAAATTTCATTTTGTATTATTTAATTTTAATGACTTTTTAAAATTAACTGTGCTACTAATTGCATGTAATATAGTGAAAGGAAAGAAGTTTTACAACATATTTGTATATGAAACTTTTAAGGATAATTAGAAAGTTATTGTAATATATCTATGATGGGCTGAAATTGGATTATTGAACTAGATTTATATTATATATTTATATTCTGCTGTTGGCAATCAAAGAATTATTAATTTTGGTGTATGGTGAGAGAATTAGACAAAAATGTACCTTATCCAATAAAATGAGGACATACAATTAGTATTAGGATAATTAATTTATTCACAGAGATCAAAATGTAAAAAAAAATCTTTGAATTCTTTAAGGGATTGTTGAAACTATCTTCATGGAACAGTGAAAACATTTAAAGTGTCCTTTCTGTCTTGTAATCATAAAACTAATTTGAGACTTAAAACTGTTTCAATTTCAATCACATCCAACATATATGTCAGGGTACATACAACATATTGCTCGCAAAACTTCAGGTACCACTCCGGAGTGTATTATAGAAACTTCACAAACAATTCGTGTATGTTAAGCAACTAAAACTCATGGGAGGTGGGGGGAAACTACATTGAAGAAAAGCAATATTCCATTTTGAATTTCAAAACTCAATCTGGTTCAGTATATTTGGCAATTCAGTGCTGAATATGCAGATGAAATCATATTCCAGAGTTTGGCAAACTGAGGGAAAACTATATTGGCAGCTGTCTCAGTGGGTAGATGATTTAAAAGAAATACCAGCGCTACTTGTATTATTATGGCAGATTACAATAAATAGGAAAACTTCAACAAATGTATTTATTCCATCACAATCTCCAATGTATTTTGTGAAACATATGCCTATCACGTATTATAATGACAGGCATAAAGCAAACATATTTTAGAACAACAGTTTTAATTATAAATTTCTTTAATCCAAAAATTTATCCAAAGGTTTTATATAAATCAGGGCCAAAATAAAGATGTTTTTGTGAATAATAAACTATTTTGCAATTTTTCCCTTCTAGTTTAATGTATAATATTACTATATAATATAACTATAGTATTAATTTAATTAATTAATAGTAATAATACATAGTGCTATGAATGGAATTTGGTTGCTAACTTCTTTGGTCTTGCAATCTTTATGTCTTCTCACTGTCAACATATGACATAATGTTTAAGGACATGACAATGTATAATGATAAACCAAATTATAATATTATGTCCTCTATTTAGAAGATATATATTATAACATTATGTTCTCTATTTAGGTTCCTGTTTATTTAATATTTGTGATTTGTTTTATTCTATTATGTATATAGTAATAAATATTTGTTTATTTCAGCCCAACCAATGCTGGGTTTTAAATTACCACAAATGTTTTCTAATGCCTTACTATCAATCTAGATTTAAGACTGTATCTGTATCTGAAAATAAGTATCAAACATTAATATAAAGAAAAATAAATTCTAGGAAAAGCTCAAGGATGAAAAATTATTTTTTTTTAAAAAACACAATGTTATAATACTTTGTTAACAAGAAAATAAGCTCTTATAAAAACACTCTTAAAACTTCCGCCTTACTGTCTATCATTATATATTATTCTAATACAGTATAAATAGTACTGGTAGTAGTGGAAAATATAGGGACATTATTTGTAGGGAACCATTAAATTGCCTAGATGTACTAAAAGGAACTATGTTTATAGTTTAAACTATGTTTACACACTGTAAAATCTAAATGTATTTTTAAACTGATTTTGCTATACGCCATCTATTCTTATGGTTTCTTCAGACCAGAAGTTATACTTTCTCATTTATTTTAGCCAACAATTAATGAAGTGCTTGGTTTTTATCTTTCAGGTTTGAACATCAGTGGCTTAAAGGAACAAAAAAGTAATGGAACCAGTTCTGAGCCCAGTTTTTCATCTCTGGAGAGGAAAAGCTCTTTGTCAAGGTAAAATCATTAAAGTATTTCATTAGTGAATTGTTTCAACTATTTCTAAGAAATGCCTCTGGGAATTTCATGGAATCCTAACAACAATATTTTGATCTTTGGGCTACAGTTCAGATTCATGTTTCTAAAACAATAACATTAAAGAAGAACACCTTAGAAAATACTTGTACTAAAGCCAGGTATTCTTTTGCAGCTGTTGTTCTCTTAATTTAAGACTCCATTGACATCTCAGTGAACCACAGATTAGCATGTACAGCTGCTCTCAGTAGGACTACTTAAAGACTAGACAATAGAAGTTGTCAAGAAAAGGACAGACGTAAAACATAAAGTCTTCAAGAAATAAAATGGTGTGTCATCTCCTGGATGGAGTTGAGATGTAAATAAACTTCAGTTCTTGTATTCACTAAAATGCTAGATTATGTGGTGGTTTGTTTTTTTTTAATTTCAAATTGAGAGCATTTAATTAATGCCCTTGTTTTTCCTAAAGAGATGCAATTTATCTACTGCCTCCCCCCCCACTTGTTCTTTGGACGATTTTTTCCCCCCTATCAGCAGCATGATTCAAATTGCTAGCAATCAAGAGGTATAAGTAAATGAAGCATAGTAAATAATTCTGGAATTTTAAATTGGCTTTAGATTGTTACATAATAATTGTCAACACACTTCTGTAGCCTGATTGTGCTGATCTGTGTTTGAAAGTCTCGTTTGTATTGTCTGATCTTTTTGATTATGTTATACAATATGCCTGTCCCTACTTAGTAACATTTATAACATTTATTTTACTTTTAACTATATAATTAATGTAAAATTGGTACTATGTAGTTGTGGAATAAAATTAATTCAGCAGCCTATAAAAGAAATAGTAATGCACTTTATACACTGTACAGTGCAATTATTTTCTGTTCTGATTTTCAGAAACTGAAGTTGGGGAATAATACTTTCTAAAGTTAATTTGTTAAAATATATTGCTTACATTTTCATTTCATAAGTTATTGCTATTTAAAGGAATCCAAAGAAGTATTTTTAAATACTGTTTGCTATATAAAAAGAATAAGCATATTGTGAACACTATCAGTATTTTAAAAAATGTTATGGAAACATGCTTTGAATTATAATATGAACAAGCAGTTTCTTGTACTTATTAAATTACTGTTCATATAATGCATGCTCTCTAGCATAAAGAAGCAAGGAACATTTTTATTCTAATGGGGGGGGAAATTGCACAGTATAACATGAATTAATAGTTATTTTTAAAAACACTTGCATTTTAATTTTCTCTATAAGGAAAATAAAGTAAAATTTTCAATCTTATATTGGAGGCTTATCTTATAAAGTTGTTACAAATAAAGTACAAATAAACTGTGAAAGAAGGGATAAGGCTCAGGTATTTATTTGCAGTTTGGATACGGAGAAATTTCTTACAGGCTGATGTCTAAAGATTCCACTTACTGTTACTTCTTGCACCTTCGTGCTATTACAAGTGGTCTTGAAAACCAGTACTTGAAAATAAACACAACAGTCTAGTACCGCTGTGGTACGTTTAATTCTCCCCCCCACCCAGTGTTTAGTCACTGAGCTGATGAGCGACTCGTGAAATACCCTGATGGACCTAATTTTTTTTAAAAAAAATGGTTTCCACTGATGTCCTACAGACAATAATTATGATGTGCTAGTTAAGTCCAAACTACAGCTGAGGGATTTTACTTTAAAGCAGAGGCTTGGGTGCAAAAATGCATTTATAGCTCTTTGTCTGCCACCTCATTATGCGTGGACCTGATTCATTAAGTAATTGGTTTGCAGTTGTTTACATGAGTATTAAGGCTTTTATTCAGCAGTCTTTTGAGAGATACATTGTGCAAATGTTGCATGTTATGAATGCAGAATGAGGGGCAGTGGACAAGTCCTATTGGCTAAACACTGCACTGTTGAAAAGCAAGTAAAAGAGATTGGGTGCTGCTTTGCATAGCAATGACTTTCTTAATAAGCTTTACAGATTAATACACACAAGCTATAAAAGATGCAAAGAGATACTCTTAGCACATTTATCCATGCTCATTTCACTATTATGGCACTGGAGATGGGAAGAATTGAGTGCTTTCATATTCTTTTTTTCCAGTGCAACTTCAGTGCATGAGACTTAATAGAATCCAATGTTTATTGTATTATAAATTGTGGGGGAAGTAGGCAGACCTGCAACAGTTTATTACTAAAGATTCTTTCAATGTAAATCTTTTCCACCATTGTGTATCCAACAGCAAAATCATTTTGTGGTTGAGTGGGGATGAAAGGCATAATGTACGAAGGAGTGAGTCTTAATAGGAAGCTGCTCTCCAATTGAAGGCCACTTGTTCCCTTTTGTATGGAGATGCATGCCATAGCTTCCTCTTCTCCAGCAAATATTACCCTGTTGTATCCTAGCTGAAAACGATTTTCTTGCCAGAGTCCCACTGCTTAGTACAAATACACTTAAACTCGGACACAATTTTTCTAACTTAATTACTACACTACATTCAAAGGAAAAAAAAATATGAAACAAATGATCCAAAAGTAGCATATCCCTAGTAGTTATAACATAATTATTAAACCAATGGTTGCAGCAATGTGTGTGGCATTTGACTGCTTTGTAGCAATACAATCAGCCAGTGGATGTCAGTAGCAGACTGTCCTTGCAGGTTTGGGCTAGATGCAATGTCTTTTCTTAGAGGCCTTTTCTTTTGCAACATCTGAATGTAAAAAATATTTAAGTTGGCTTCCTGAAGCGTGCCTTAAAGTTTCAGTATATTTTTATTTATCAGGTTATCTATTAAGGACAATAGGACTTGCTTTTGAGTTTCATAAAATTCTTATCCTTGTGTTTAAATTGGCTTTTTGAACAGAAATGTCTTTTTCTTTAAATAGTTTATTCACTTGAATAAATTGCTAGTTACCACTTTTAGCGGTTTGTACTGAGTATTTCAAATACTGTATACTTGGCCTCTGATAAATGCTTCATTTTAATCTTCACAGATAACTACAATGACCAGTAGGGGTCACTGTTTCTTTGCTAAATCCAAGTTGCATTTCTGTCTATTTCCAAATGAAATTTATATTTTAAATCTGGTTGAATTTTAGTTTCCAAAAGCTTCAGTGTTGCTGGTATCAGTTTATATCCTCAGGAGTAAAAGAATCTTTTGATAGTCACTGAAGATTTTTATGTCATTTGCATAAGATGCTCAAGGTGGGCTTTTCTGGATTCCCTGTTCATGGAAGACATAGTCCAGATATTTAAAGGGATGTTTGGTTTTTTCCAATTCTGCTCAATTATCTAAGCTTTGGTTTCTAATTGAAAACCATCATTTTAGATTTCTGGTAGTTTATAAATAGCCTCTTTTTCATCTATACTATCCTCATATTAATAATATAAAAGAACGAGACAGTTGTTGCTTATTATTCTTTTCCTTTAAGCCTTTCCTTTAAGACGAAAGATTATTGATTATCCTATCTCAATTACTACTGAAACTACAGCACAGTTCAAAACACTGATAAAAGTAATAGCCTCATAGATAGAAGTGGATGAATGACTTTGCAGATGACATTGCCTTAATACTGCTTAAGCTAAATAAGCATTTCCCTTTGATCATTGAAGACATATTAAAATATGGAGAGGTAGTGAATTTTGAAATTCATTTTAGAAAGACAATGGCTTTGTTCATCAATAATCAGCTCCAAATTAGAGAATGAGGTAAGGGTTAAATAATCCTTTAAGATTGATCATAAATGAATTACCTTGGACTTTAAATATAATTTTTCTCAATTGTGTGCACTAATAGTTGAACTAGAGGAAAATTCTAAGGGGGCAATGTCAATGTCAGACTTTTAAAGTGCAAACTTAATAATTATACTTATGTGTATAGATTGTTGGTGATAAAACGAGGAATGCTTTATGGATGCAAAAACCGTTGAGGTCCTTAAGTTCTTAAAAGAAAAGAAAGTTTATGAAACTAATGCTCTGGTGGTGTTATACTCCAATTTCTTTAGCAGAAATGTCGATATAAGAATTATTGAAAGAGATATGGTAACATTGAAACTTACTGGCATGTTCTGGTAGATCATTCAAAGATTTGGAAATTAGTAATATTTTCAATTTTCTCCCCACACTTAACCAATACAAAAACACCACCACCACCACCCAATATCTAAAACTGTTGGTTTGTCTTACTTGGGGGCTTGCAAAAGGGGTAAATCAGGTCCATGGAGTACCTGCAGTTAACTTAAGATAAATAAACCCCTGCTTTTTGTATTTTTGCTTGTGCATTATGCATTAATAGTAGAAGATTCAAAACTGAAAAAAAGGAGTATTTATTCACATAGCACAACTATAAACAGTGTTATAGACACTGTGGAGTAATTCATAAAGGAAATATGTCTTAAACTTTTTAACAGTAAAATGCATTATGAAATAATGTTCTTTATTGAAAAGCAATAGTAGGCAGATAAATCCTTTTGAGTGGCTTGAGTAGGAATCAATTCCTTATTCAAGCCCTCTTTATTTCTGGATTCATTTAGCTTCCCAACTAGGATTTATGTAAATAGGATTTATGTAAATATCCAGTATGTGACATTTCTTTCAACAAGCTTATAGCAGTTCTGTGGAAATCTTGAAAAAGAACAATAAGTTATTTCAGTTGGACACTCTTTCATAATTATAGTGTTATGGCCATCAGAACAGCTAATCAGATTTTCCCCTATGATAATCTGTCCCTAACCTGAACTTTTAGGTCTTCCAGCAATGCTCTGTAAATGAGTCCATGTCCATCCAACTTACTCGTCCTGTTCTCTTTCCTTCTAGCTTTTCTAATATTAGACCTTCTCCTGAGAGTTAGGTCTTAGTAAAGTATATCCACAGTAGGATAATTTGAACCTGGTCATTTGTACTTCTAGTGAGAATTCTGAGTTGATTTGTTCAATTCTTCTTTTGTTTATTGTCCTGGCTGGCCACCGAATTTATAGAAGCTTTCTCCCACATCAACATTCAAAAGCATCAATACTCTTCTACTCTGATTCTTTAAAGTCCAAGTTTTACTTTCATTGAGTTTTGCAGAGAATACCATTGCTTGCACAAATATGATCATTGTAAGATACACACATCCTGGTAGTTTAATATATTTTCCAAGGCCTTGATGATTGTTGTTGCACTATCAATACAATGGAACAAGCAGTCAAAAAATTTACTCTTTTTTGACTGCTTGTTCCATTGTATTGGTAGTTGGTTCTAAAAGGCAGAAGCTTTCCACCATTTCAGTATTTTCACTGTATATTCAAAAGCTGGCAGCTCTACCTGTTACTAGTTTAGTCTCCTTCAAATTTAATTTTAGTACCATTTTTTCACTGTACTCTGACTTTTACTAGACTTCCCATAATAAATATACAGCATATATGTTTAATAAATAAAGGGAGAGTATAGAGCCACTCTGTTCTCATAAGACTATAACGTCTTCAGTTGTACATAGGTTTCACCCGAGGACAATGAGTGTTCTGGGATTCCCATTTTTCTAAGCACATTCTACAGCTTGATGTGATCAACACAATTGAAAGCGTTTCTGTAATAGTGACTTTTGTTGAATATTCTATAGATAGAACTTACTTTCAGTGGAAATTTATTTTTCCCAAGCTAGTAATTTTCCATAAATATGTATACTTTTATTAAACTATTTTCAAGCTTATGATTCTTCACTAATTTTTAAAAATGTTGTTCATAGTGTTGTTTTCCTGGAGTATGATATTGATTTGCTGCATGCTGGATATTCTGTATAAATATACACAAAAATGTATAAAAACCTTAATCCAGAGAAAATGGCAAAAATGGTCTGGAAACTGAGAAACCTTAAATGGTGAAATACAAATATCATTGTTGGCTTTGGTTAAAACTGAATTCTGAAGGTTTTAGTCCACTGTTCTTAGAATTCATTCTGATCTTAAGTTATATTTGAATATGTCCACCTGTCCACTTGTTACTGTGCAGAATATATCCACCTGTCCACCTGTTAATGAGCACTGATATATTTTTCTTTTTTTACAGAGATGAAAATCAAAGAGGAATATCTACAATAAAATCTAAAGGTAAGGATATTATCAGTTGTCGTCACCTAACACAATTAAAGACTTTTTTCCCCTTTTCTGGCAATAGAGAAGCTTGCTTGGACTCATGTAGTCCATCTAGTAGCATCTTGGTTCTAAGAAGCCTGTAAGGAATGAAACAATACTCAGCAATTTTGCCCTCAAATAAATTTGTGCCCTTAAGTCAGTATTGACTTTTGAGGACTACCAGAGCAAGCCCTTGTTATTCCCGAGTTTTCTTGGCAATATTTTCAAAAATGGTCTTTTTCTTCTTTTGGGGCTGAGAGAGTGACTGGCGGAACTAGAAAAGCAACCTCCTACTTCCTAGTCAGATCCCTTTAACCACTACATCAAACTAGTTTATTTACAAACTAAGTTTTTCTTTTGTGATCATGCCTATTAAAGGAATATTGAAAGGGGGCTAATAGTTATCTTCAGACCTGTGACATTTGCAGAGAGGAGTAAATGGGATCAAAGTGATGATGTAAGCAACATTGTTATGCAAGCTCCATCGCTTAGCGGACTGGAGACTAAAACATACGAAGAACCATTCCAGGAATTGGGTATGTCTAATTTAATGAAAAGAAGAACTAGTGGTGACATGATATCAGTGTTCCAATATCTAAGGGGCTGCCACAAAGAAGGGGTCAACCTATTTTTCCAAACACCTGAAGGGAGACAAAAAGTGATGGATGGACAGTTCCTGATAGTTAAAACCATTGATCAGTGGAATGACTTATGGTTGTGGGTGCTCCAACACTGGAGATTTTAAAGAAGAGATTGGATATTTGTCTGAAATGGTATAGGGTTTCCTGCTTGAGCAGGAAGTTGGACTAGAAGACCTCCAAGGTCCTTTCAAACTCCATTATTCTGTTATTTCTTTTCTATATGCATCTCAATATCATATGCCTTCCCCCCAATGGCTGGCCTTTCACTGCAACCTCCTTTCATAATTTTGATTAAAATAGTGAGAACCTGAAGATGCTGCTGCTGCTTTGTCAATGACTTCCATGCATATTACACATTAAATGAAAAGCAGTTTCCCCTGCCTGTAATATACAAAATTAACCTGGGGCCATCTGTTTTATCTCTATATTGTAAATCCTTACTCTGTTAATTTGGATGTGAGCCCTCCAGATATTGCTGGATTTTCATTATTCTTGACCAGAGGCCTTTATTAACTGAGATTGATAGAGGCCTGAATCCAACATCTGAAGAGCAACAGGTTTCTTGCTCCCTAAGTAGCCATTAATTATAAGGAAAGTGCTTGATTCCAGTGATTTCTGCAGCATTTTTAGTGCTACAAAAGCCTTTTTGAAGACAAGCAGCAGAATATATACCATTCAGGCAGTGATTGCACTACCTTAAATATGTTGAGTCCAGCTTTTATTTGATTATTCAAAACTTTATAAAGTGGCGATAGATCATTCATATTTTAGTTTTCAACAATAGTGGGATTCCTGAAAGTGCAGATCAGGATTGGAGGATTCAGGTGGCTCTGAGCCTAGATTGTCTTCCTCTATCATAAGCAAAAGAACCTCTTTAGCTTTGTCAATCATAATGTGGATACCATCTTTGTATACCAAATGCTAATGAGTAGTAATTCCTGAGGTTTTTATTGCCCAAAATTTCTTGTACTTTCTGCTGCTTTAGGAGTAATATGTCTAAGTCTGAGGTTCTCTTGTATTTTTAGCTTTAAAATTTTACATATGATAACTGTCTTAACTCCAGATCTTCATTTTTTCACCTTCATTTGTCAAGAAACTAGTTTTCCCTATCTTTTTCCTTAAAAAAAGATGAGCCAGAAAAAAAGGTTTCATAAAGGTGATAATTGCACAATCTCTTAGATGAGGATGATGAATCAGATGGACCAAGTCCAGTCCATACACCAATGGAAGGAGAACTTCTATGGCTCTGATTACAGTTAAATAGGGTTCATACAGTATTTAATATTTATACTCTTATCTAGTTGTCATTCTTTGAAAGTTCTTAACATCCTAAATAATATAAATCATTGGTTATGTTAATAATAAACCTTTATTGTCAATGCATGTATACAATGAAATTGGCTGAGGCTCCCTTAGTGCACCCCCCAACACATCTCAATAACTTAGAGAAAGAAAATCCCTAACCCAGTAAATCGTATTAACAAACACAATCCTCTATACCCATGATGGCGAATCTCTGGCACGCGTGCCACAGGTGGCATGCAGAGCCATTTGTGCCAGCATGCAAGTTGCAGGTAAACTTACCTCACTGCGCATGCGTGAGCCTCACGGCTGATTTTTGGCTGGTTTGAGGCCTTTTTCGGCTCTCAGAGAGCTTGAAAAAAGCCTCTGCAGGTTTTGCAGGCTGAATAATAGGCCCATTTCATCACTTCCTATAATACCAAAAGTGACGAACGGGCTTATTATTCTGCCTGCAAAGCCTGCAGAGGCTTTTTTCAAGCCTCTGGGAGCCAAAAAAAGGCCTCAAACTGGCCAAAAATCAGCTGTGAGGCACAGTACAGGTAAAGGGGGGATTGCGCACACATGCACAGGGGGCGTGGGGAGGCGCACTGTCTTCTGGGTGCTGGCAAGCGAGTGCACACATGCACAATTTTTGACACAGGAACCCAAAAGGTTAGTCACCACTGCTCTATACATATATGTGCATAACATTATATTGCATCAATGTGAACATGATGCATGTTGCGCCAGCCCTGCAAGTCTATCATACTACATAGTTATGATGTTATGTTGCATTCAGGAGTCTGACAGTCCACAGATAAAAAGTGTCCTTCAGCCTGTTAGTATGACTGGCTATGTCTCTATATCTCCTGCCCGATGGTAGGACAATAAAGTGCTAACCAGAGTGTGAATCATCCCTGAGATTTTCCTCACTCTGCTACGGCAGTGAGTCCTGTTGATTTCGTATGTTGACGTTAAATGCCTTGTCATTTCTTTCCCCATCTGTCTCCCAATCCAGCTTTTTGGGGTGAGTCTGATGACAGCAATTCTGATATTGAAGCAGCCCTACGCCCTCAGGAACAGTGTTCACAAGAAGATGGATTCAGTGATTTCTATGACTAACTTGATACCCATTTACAAACGAATGATAAAAAGCCAGTAGCAATTTTTCAGGATGAAAGTGGTTTCAGAAAAGGTCAATCTGGATTGGATATCCTGGTGGCATTTTTATGTACCTTACCATAGCCACTTCTTCACACCAAATTATCCTGTCAGCCCACTTTCAACCAATATGTTTATGAATGATTGTAACATTCTTCTTGAAAACCAAGGTAAGACCACCAAAACTGCAACAGTCTAAGATTTATACCTGGATTTGAAACACATTTGAAATTTGAAGTACACAGAAGCAAGGGGGAGAGTAATTTTGGAGCTGGAAAATTGTAGGCCTTTAATTTATATATTCCCTCCTATACCTGTTCCTTGATCCAAGTTGCTTGGTTGAAAAGTTTGTTCTTATGCTTGAATGGCCATCAGACTAATGAATTCAGTTCAAGACAAAGCAACTATGATGTTTATTAATGCTATTATGAATTTTGCATTAAATAAAAAGCAACTGATTGGACTGGGACCTTGTTTGTATTTGTAGCTTTAACCATCCACTACTGTTTACATGAGGAAGGAAGCTTTTAGTTATGAAAATAGTTGCAAAAAAAAGCAAAGCATGATTAAGAGGGCCAGGGCAGAGCGTCACAAAATGAACGATTGTATGAACAATGGCATTTCAGGCTTAGCTCTATAGCTGTTTTTTAGAAGTAAAGCATATTATTTCAAAAATCAGATTTGTAAATGTATCTTACCTTTAGTTTATCATAAATGATGCGAGATATTATATTTGTTTTTTTATATCCCCAATAAAATGTACCTGAAAACTTGGAAGAAACTGTTTTCACAATCTTTGTTTTTATTTTGAAATTGATAACAATCATTAAATAATCTTTGCACATTGAAATAAACAGGATCTTCACAGTCAAAAAAGTTTTGTTTTGACCCAGCAATTCATTCTGAGGTACTAAGTACTAAGTGTCTCACTCAGGACTAGCCTTTGAGTCACAGAACAGTTTGGTCTCATTTTTGTCTTCGAAGTGTTTTGCAAACATGTCACATTGAAGTATTATATTAAGGGCTGTTAAGACATTCACCTCCACTGGATGGAATAAAGTAGATACAAGTTGTCCTTGATTTATGACCAATTGCTTAGTGACCATTCAAACATATGACAGACACCTCCAGATTCTTACGACCAGGTTCCGAAGTTGCAAAATCTGCCCCTGACCTTGTGGTCACATGACATTTCAGGTTACCCTAATTAGGGCAACTGCCTGAACCCTGACAGACTAATCACAACATTTTATTGTATATATAACATGTAAATCCTCACAAAATAAGATGTGCAAATGAGATTCTGTGCCCTGCAATGGAGGAATTATATGGATAGTTTCCCCTAAATTAATTGAAGTTGATTGACTGTTGATCAAATGGACCCATTGTGTGCCCAATGTCTGCCTGCCCACTACAATCACATACAAATAATGGAAAGGAAGGGCACCATGTTAATTTGGTGGTCTCTGGTCCACCAAAATTGCTAGCAAAGCTATCTCTACAGCTCCAGCCAGGAGAGATTCCGTTACAGATCTTGAGTATCCAAAAAAAAAAAAAAGCTTTATCACTAAATTGGATTCTTTCAATGAACACACAATACAGCAACCTTCTAAGAACCCAGTTCCACGTCAGGTGCGTGGAACCTCCGTATCACAAAATTCCGATGATGGGTAAAGAAAGTCTGTTCACTTGCGGGCCGTCGGATTGACCAATGGTGCAATCTAGTGGGTTATAACTTCAAATACGGAGTTCAACATGCCAAATTTAGATGTATGGAGGGAGCGGTAAACCAGCTGGTAAAATTGGGAAAGAAAAGTTTTTGAACCAAGTCAAATAGAGCACAAATAAAATGACGGATATGCTGGCTTTACCCCCGAAACGTCCTCCGGCCAATATCACACTCGTTAGATTCACTAAGTATCAATGAGTAGCCAACACTGCTTATTCTCCCGGCTTTTCCTGCCGCGAGACCGCTCGGTTCCTCCAACAGCCATTCGAAACTGAAACCGCTTTTCCATTCACTTGGAGCAAGGGAGTTGAAGTTACGTCATTGGCGACGTCACTGGTGCGGTCCGCAGTTCCCTCCTTTACCCATAGTGCTAGAGGTTATCCGGTGACCCGGACATCTTTCTTCGCCGGTTTTTGTCACGGAAAGGTCTGCGCATCCAAGGGTCCGGGGCGACTAATGGGGGTCCCGGCATTTTTCCGGTGGCTAAGCCGCAAATACCCCTCCATCATCGTGTCCTGCACTGAGGAAAAGGTGAGCGAGGAAGGAAAGGCATCTGGCGGGACGGGCTCTGGCGCTGCGTTGCCGCGGCTTTTGAGGCCGCGTTGGTTAGGCCGGAAAAAAAAGGGGGCGGGGGGAAACGGAAGAGCTGGTGGATCTCTGCCGACTTGTTATTGTTCTCGCGATATGTTGTTCTCTCCAATTCTCGTGGAATTGGTTGTTAGGCTTCGCAACTGGTTGCACTGGTGGACACCATGTTCTGGTTTTCCGAATCCAAACAAAACAGGCTTTTCAGACTTTAGAGATTAAAAGACATTTTGATCAAATAATATTCATAGAAAATAATGGTTTAGATAGATTGAAACTGGTTCAGTTTGGTAAAACCAATTAAATAGAATGCCTAGCTGAGTAGGTACCTGGACCACTTAATTTTTGCACATATATAAATTAGCTTTGGAGTGATGCAGTGGCTTGGAGGGGGAGCTCTTGCCTCACAATCAGGAGGCTGTGGGTTCGATCCTAGCTAGCCGCAGATATTTCTCTCACCTGGCATCCGGCCAGTAAACAGCTTCATTCAGTTGCCCTGACTCCAACCCATGCAAGGGATTATGGGGTCATTAACAGGAAGAAGAAGAAAAAGTAGTTAGCTTCTTCTACACACTTGCTTCATAACTTTCAAGCATATTAATAAAATATTGTTGCTTAAGGTGTTACACTGCAAACTTTCCAGGCTAAACCTGTTATGAAACATTTTTATTCTTTGTGCTTTCATAAAAAAGCCTGGCACAATAATTAATAATAAACAAGTTTAAAAAATAGCAGCTGGAAGGAACTATTTATGTCATCAAGCCAACTTCTCTACTCTCCACTACTAGTCTGATCTTATTGTTAGAATGTTTTTCTTAGTGTGTAATTGATATCTGACAATTTCCATGTTCTGTAATCTGGCAATATAGAAGGGGTAATTTTTTTGTACTCAAAGAGTGCCATGTTTTTCTCAATAGTGATTTTTTCAAGGCTTAACAGTTTTTTCAGTCTTTTCAGATATATTTCATAGTCTGATTATTTTTACTAGTATTTGTATCTATCCTAATTTCTTAGAATCCTTAAAATATGAATCTCTGAATTATATTCAGTATACAGGGGCAATTTAGTGGGACCTTTGGTATGATTTAGAAAGTATGCTAATGTTGATACAATCTAAAAATGCATTTACCTTCTTTATGTTGGTGATTAATTATTCATTCAATTTGAAAACAGACTATGAAATAAATTCTGTTTGAAAAGATTGGAAGAACTCTTTTAAGCCTTGGGACAAAAAATCACTATTGAGAAAAACATGATTAGCACTCTTCAAGTACTAAACAAACATAACCCTTCCATATTGCCACAGATTACAGAACATGGAAAAATAAGTTTTAAGTCAGATTTCAGTTGTACACTAAAAAACATTCTGACAATATGGTCACAAAAGCTGATCACATGACCCTGGGACACTGCAACATCATAAATGTGAACCAGTTGCCAAGCATCAATTTTGATCATGTGACCATGGGATGCTGCAATAGTCATAAGTGTGAAAAAGTGTCATAAGTCACTTTTTCCAGGGTTGTTGTCTTTGAACAGTCACTAAATGAACTAATAAGTTGAGAACTACCTCTATTAATATCGAAGACTCATTTTGTATAAATTGGTTTGCAAATTGGGATATACAGTAAATACTGTAGAGATTTTAATGTAAGAACAGTGGTAATACACACGAATGACTGAGACTTACAGTTACTTTACATCTTTGACTCATAAGAATTTCATAGTCACATGCTGCTATTATATATGAAAATATCATGAACTTGATTGGTGAATAAAACTTGAAAATCCCACAGAAGATTCAACATGGTAGAAAGCATTCTTCCCCCATCAAAAAAGTCAAATATGTATAGATATCCATAGGGAAGACAATGAAGTGGCAAAGGATAATGCCGGTATGTGCATCTTGGTGTCATAGCACAGATGATGCAATTTATGCTTGCATCAAACATCATGATATTACAGCATGGAAGGGCATCATTTGTATGATATCTGTTTTTAAAATCGTTGCTTCATATTTGTGCCAGTATGTTACTTTAAAAATCATGCAAAGTTGAAGGTAAATAGCTTGATCGTATTAAGGAAAATCGGTCTTGTACAAATATATGAATAGAAATAGGTGCAGCTGTCTTTCACTTGCTTGATTTTGTTTTTAGGACTTACAGATTTACTTTATTCAGCTGATTTCAAGTGATGTCCAGCTCCACAATATATAACTGGGATTAAAACAATAAAAATGTTGAGTAATCATAAATAGGGGAAAATGCATAATGGCCTTGATTCCATCAAAATTGTCAGTTACTAACATGCTAATAATTTGGGTTCTGCGACTAGGTGAGACTCTGAAAATATCACTGCCTAAGAATAAATGAACTTGTCCATCAGTATTTCTACCAACTGAAACTATTGGTGTTTGGAAAAATTTGCTTTATACTTTACAGTGTTCTAGTAGACAATGCTACTGATTTTTAATGTGCCAAACTGAGCACTTGTACAATATTAAAAACAATCTCTTATCAGCTGAAATAGAAACATCAACCATATGTAGGAAAGCTACCAGTGAAGCTTTAAATAAGTTATGGGTCTGAGGAGATCATTGCATATTTCATTTTATCAACATCTTTCATTTCTAGCTATTTCAAAGGGGTGTGAGCTTCTAGAAACTAAAAACAGGGTTAAGGAAATATTTGAATTAGAGGAAAACATGTACTGTTTTAATGGATGTCCTTTTTCAAAAATATGGGATCCTTAATGCTCTTTAAATTTGGTTGTTTTCTTTCATTACCAAACTATGTAACATAATTAATGCAAGAAGGGAGTGGTATTTGCTCTCTTTTTATGTAGTAGTGCTGTGATGGTGAACCTGTGGCGTATGTGGTGGCACGCAGAGCCATTTGTGCTGGCATGCGAGTTGCAGGCAGACTCACCTCACTGTGCATGCGTGTGCCTCCCAGCTGATTTTTGACCTGCTTGAGGCCTTTTTTGGCCTCCCAGAGGCTTGAGGAAAGCCTTTGCAGGCTGAAAAATAGGCCCATTTCATCACTTCCTGTATTTCCGGAAATACCAGAAGTGACGAAATGGGCCCATTTTTTGGCCTGCAAAAGGCTGCAGAAATTTTCCTCAAGCTTTTGGGAGGCCAACAAAGGCCTCAAACCAGTTGCAAATCAGCTGGGAGGCACAGTGCAGGTGAGGGGGTCGCAGGAGGGGGTGGAGGGGATTGCGTGTGCAGGG